AGGACAAGGTGGGGTTTTTGATTAGCCTTGCTGGGCAATTCCCCTATTAATCCAGCTCAACTGGCTGTTTGACAAGTATGCTGAATTTTGCCATCAGCTAAGGCCCAGACAAGACTAGCTAAGGCCCAGACAGTGAACCAGCATTTGAGACAGTTGCAGCAGGGATGAGGACTGCTCACAGATTATATTAATGAATTTCAGGTGGCCAGCTAGGACCTTCAACAGAACAAGGCTGCTCTAGTGGATCAGTTCCAGGAAGGCCTCTCCTCAGAAATGCTGGATGAGCTGATGCACACAGATTGCCCCCCACACTTCAGGATCTCATACACTTATGCCTATGCATTGATGTGTGGCTCCAGCAGCAACGACAGACAGAGGCCTTGCCTACACACACCAAGACAGCACTGGCACTGCCACCGCCACTGGAAAAGCCTGTGTAGTTGGGGGCTGCCTGACCATGCCTGACCCAGGCCAAGAAAGACCAATGGTGCTGCAAAGGTCTTTGTTTGCATTGAGGCGGGCAGGGTCATATAGTGGCCATGTAATCCACAAAGGTGACCAAACTGATGGTGGGATTGGTGGCAGGAAATGGGCAGGGTCCAGCCTAGACAGCTCTGTAGGCCAGGCTCCCTTGGATGTGGACTGTCCCCAGCCTCCACGATCAACTGCTTCTCAGCATCTCATTCTCACAGTACTTGTGTCCTTGCTGGGTTGGTTCAAGTCAGGGTAGACTCGGGGGCCATGGCAACTTTATGGAGTCAGACTTTTTTTTTAAATTTGATTTATATGCCGCCCTTCTCCAGAGACTCAGGGCGGCTTACAATGCATTAAGCAATACTTCATACTTTTGTATATTTATACAAAATCAGGTTATTGCCCCCACAAACTGGGTCCTCAATTTACCTACCTTAGAAAGGATGGAAGGCTGAATCAACTTTGAGCCTGGTGAGATTCGAACTTACAATAATTGCAGACAGCTGGTGTTAATCACAATGCTATCAGTCTGCAGAGCCACCAGGCCATGCATTGGGCCATTCCTCAGCAGCCAGTAATTCAACGGTCAGTCACTGTGGTTGGGATCGGTGGTTGTGTTGATGAGACCCCTTCACATGTGTATCAGGGTTCATGTGGAGGAGTTGGTATTTTACATGGCTGCGGTGCCACCCTTCCCATTAGTGCTTGGGTTGGAGTGGTTGCAGGCCCATGATCTGCAGGCCATTTGGCCATCTGGAGTGGTGCAGTTCACCAACCTGAAGTGTGCTGCTCTGTCTGCATACTTGCTCAGGGGGTGTGATGGAGAGGCCAGACCTGGACTTACCAGCAGAGTTGATGGATTACGCTGATGTGTTCGGGGAGAAGGAGGCAGATCAGTTGCCTGCGCACTGACCCTATGACTGCCCAATTGAGCTCATGCCTGATGCTAAGCTGCCAGTTGGCCGGATTTATTCACTCTTGGAATCAGAGTTGGCAGCCTTTCTGTTATCCTCCCATCATCCCAAAACCAATGGGAACATAGAGAGAGTGAACACCATCTTGGAGCAGTACCTCAGGTGCTTCAGCAATCAACAAGACAATTGGGCAGAGGCTTGCTGTTACGGGAATTCACCTATGGTAACTCTTAGCATGCATCCACCTGAATGTCCTCATTTTTTTGCAAGCTACAGGCTCCACCAATGGCTCTTCCCATTGGCCCCATCAAATTCCCCAGTACTGGCAGTGGACAAGTTTCTCCAGGAGCTGCGTGCTGTACGCCAAGTCATGAGAAACCAATTGGAGTGAGCAAAGGAGAATTAAAAGAGATTTGCAGACCACCAAGAGAGTCTACCACTAGCTGTGGGCAATTGATTTGACTCTCTACATGGCACCTGCTGACAGCTCGCCTTCTAAGAAACTTGACCATCGCTACCTGGGACCATTCCTGGTTGAAGCAGTGATCAACCCAGTGGCATTTCAGCTGACTCTGCAACATACCATGTGGCTCCACCCGGTGTTTCATCGGTCATTGCTGGTACCTGTGGCAGCCAATAGTCCGCATCATCCAGAGCCTCCACCAGCTAGATCAATAGCTCCTCAAGGAGTGGTGGAGTACTAGGTGCAGGGCCTGGTTTCAGTATGGCATGGAAGGGTTAGGGTCCAGAGAACTTCACTTGATGGATGCCTCCAATGTCCATGCCCCTCGTCTTGTTTGGGAGTTTCATACCCGGTTCCTGCAATGCCTCATCTGCTTGGTCCTGGGAGGGGGCCCTGCAGGGGAGGGATAGTATCATGGCCACATCAGAGTCTGAGTCTGAGTCTGAGGATGAGATGGAGCTAGGGCCAATGGAGGAACAACCAGAGGAGCAAGACAAGATGAGGTTCCTCAGACCTGGGAAGGGTTGCCAGCGAGGGAGAGGGGGCACAGGAGGACCAGGTGAGGGGGGAGAATAGGGCACGCAGTGGAACAGAGGAGCTCTGGAATTCCGGTGACAAGTAATTACCTGCCCCCTCTGATCCTTGAGCACGGAGAATGTAGAGGAAACAGGATCAGTGCAGAGCAACCTGACAACTTGGGAGGAGGGCCCTTCTTCACAAGGCTCACCTGGGGAATGAGATTTAAGGAGACACTGTTGGGGGGGGGGCGTTTGTCGGTAAGAAGTGTTGCTTTTTCCAGTCTCATATGCTGTTACCAATGTCTGGATACTTTGCTGTGCTTGTCTTGTTTGCCGTGCTGGCCTGCTCTGGTTAATGGTAAAACTTTTGGGGAAAAGTTGGAACAATAAAAGGGAGTTAAGCCTTCGTTCTGGCTGTGTTGTTTCCGGTGCCCAGCCCCAAGTCATCACAGGCAATTTGAGCATGCACACACTCTAACAGCAGGTGTAAAACTAAAAAGGAAGGAAGGAAGGAAGGAAGGAAGGAAGGAAGGAAGGAAGGAAGGAAGGAAGGAAGGAAGGAGGAAGGAATCACAACTGATAAGGAAATAGGACAGCCCCAAAAGTGAGAGGCAGATTTTCTTCAGGGTGTGAAAACATTACAGACACATTTCTAGAAAGGGGTCACAGAAGCTTCAATATGCACATTCAACGGAGGCCCTAAGTCAGGGGTGTCAATCTCAATTTCACTGAGGACTGGATCCTCCTGTGCGTAAACACACCTGCCGGGATGATGTTAGCTGGGCCTGTGCACGTGTGCGACTGCCGCCTCCTTTGCACATGCATGTCCACGAGGATGGCCTGGGCTGGGCTGAGCCAAACTGATGTGGGCCGGCCCCTTACCATTTCCAGGATGCCCGTGCAGGCTGGATCGAACCACATCATGGGCCACATCTGGCCCACGGGCCTTCAGTATGACACCCCTGCCCCTAGTTTTATTCTAATAAGCAGACCCTGCATTTAGAACCAGAAGAGATAAGGAGATATAGCACCATATATCCTTGAGCCTGATCTCCTTTAAAGGCCTGACCTCGGCAGCAAATAAATCACTAACAGGCCCAAATAAAAATTCCATCTTTAAAAAGTTGTAGCTTGAACATCCGAGAAGGATATCCATAAACTTTAATAAACATATAGTAATACTAGACTTATACAGGTAAATAAACACATTAATATACGATAAGATCAAACATCTTCATTTCTATCTTCCACCAAATCATACTGTGCAATGTACATGGAAAGTGAAAACGACGACAGACTGACCTATTTCTACTTTCATCCCTTTTCAACCATCCCAGAGGTGCGTTTGTTGATTTTTGTTTTTTTCCTAGCTTTGTTCCTGCTCAGTCTTTGGGTGAATTCTGCTGTTTTACTCAGTGTGCACAATGAACATTCCCTCCACACACCCATGTATTTTTTCTTGTCAAGCTTGGCTGTTAGATCGGCGCAGGGAAAGCAAGACGCGACCAGCTCGGGTCCAGTTCAGTACTTTATTAAAGCACAGGAAAAAGACAAGCGGCTGGGCTGCCGGAGCTCCTTTTATACGCTCCGGCAGACTCAGCCGCCCACTGACAGTTATTTGAATCTCCCGCCGGAAGATTAGCCAATCCCCGGCGGGTGCCCATATAAGGACATAACACTCCTCCCCCCTTAGTCTGAAAAATGTCCATCACAATTAATGTACGTTACGAAGTCACGCAAGTAGGCGGGGCGCCTGCTTGCCCGAGATGACCTGCACAGTTCAGTCTGAGCTTCGCCGCCGGCCTGTGCGGGCGAAGCTCCTGTCCTTCCCGGCTCCCCGGTGGGGGTGGCCGGGGCGCCGGCCGTCGAGTGTGCGGGATCCGTCCCAGCACCTCCGGCCGCGACATCTGGAAGTTCGCGCTGGAGTCGCTGGTCCTTCCCTCGCCTGGAGAATCTGGAACCTCGCGGCGGGACAACGCTGCTGTCCGGTGGGTGCCGTCCGAAACCCGGTAAGTCCGTGGGTGTCTCGTTGGGCTCCCGTCGCTGTCGCTGTCCCGTGTGGTCGACCTCGCCGGGGTGGTGTTCATTCCCGCGGCTGGGTTGGAGCTGGCTGGCTTCGCAGGGTTGGTGCTGGCCGACCTCGCTGGGGTGGTGCTGTTCGACCTGGTCTGGGTGGTGTGCGCCTTCCTTGCTGGAGTGGTGCTGGTCGACCTTGCAGGGTTGGTGTTGGTCGACCCGGTCTGGATGCTGGCTGGGGTCTCCCTTGCCGGTCGGTCGCTGGCCGGCTTGGGTTGCCTGTTGTGCGCCTCCCCCGTGTGGTTGTCCCCGGTCTACTTGCCTGGAGCGTTGGTCTCCCTGGCAGGGCCGTTGTTGGACCTCGTCGCTGGAGGGGTGCGATCCTCCCTCCCTGGGTGGGTCCCGGTCTACCCCTTGATTGTTGTGGCGGTCCCTCTCCATGGAGTGGCGGATGCCCCCCTTGCCGGGTTGGGGGTGCCATTCCTCTTGTGACAGGTCCCGGTCTACCGCTCTGGATCGTCGCTGAGAGATTTCATGGGAATGTGCTTGGCCGGCCTCGTCAGGGTGTCAGTGGCCTGCCTCGCCTGGGTGTTGTAGGCCTGCCTCGTCGGGGTGTTGTAGGCCTACCTCGCCGGAGTGCTGCAGGTCTGCTCTGCCGGGGTGCTGTAGGTCTGCTCTGCCGGGGTGTTGCAGGCCTACCTCGTCGGGGTGTTGTAGGCCTACCTCGTCGGGGTGTGGTAGGCCTACCTCGTCGGGCTGGTTTCCTTCCGATCCCCTCCACCTTTTCCGAAGCTGGTCGATGTGCCGTCTACAGACCTGTCCATCTTCCAGCTCGACTCGGTAGGACTTCGGGCCGGTTGTGCTTTCTATTCTCCCCTTTAGCCACTTCGGAGAGCCGTTGAAGTTAAGCGCAAACACCGGGTCTCCTATGGTGAAGGCGCGGAGCGGCCGGCTGGCCGTTGCTGTCACTTCGGGGTTGTACTGGGGGTGCAGCCGGTCCAGGGGTGACCTCAGGCGTCTGCCCATCAGTAGCTCAGCTGGGCTCTTCTTGGTGGTGGCATGTGGGGTGATGTGTTGTGTAAGGAGGAAGTTGTCAATCCTCTCTTGCCAGTCGCCCGGACCCATCTTGGTGAGCGTCTCCTTGGTGAGTCTCACCATGCGTTCCGCTTGACCGTTTCCGGCTGGCCTGTAAAATGCGGTGAGGGCGTGGCGGATGCCCTGTCCCGCCAGGAACTCTTCCATGGCCTTGGATGTTAACTGTGGGCCATTGTCAGAGACTAGGACATCCGGCAGCCCGTGTGTTGCGAATAGGCGCCTGAGTGCCCTGATGGTGGCTTCGGACGTGGTAGATGCCATGGGGATGACCTCTAGCCACTTGGAGAAAGCGTCCACAACGATTAAGAGGTAGTGCCCCTGCATTGGACCCGCGAAGTCAATATGGATCCGTGCCCATGGGCTGCTGGGCATCTCCCACTCTGACACTGGGGTTTGGGCGGGGGCGGGACGTACCTCTTGGCACGGGTCACATCTGGCGACCCACTCTTCAATGTCCTTGTCCAGGGATGGCCACCAGACGTAACTCCGTGCCAGTCCTTTCATCCTTACGATGCCCGGGTGTCCGTTGTGGAGCGTCTCGAGCGTTTTCTTCTGTAGAGCGCTGGGAATCAGCACCCGGTCTCCCCATAGGATACAGCCTTTCATGGTGGACAGCTCCTGTTGCTTCCGTGCGAAAGGGCTGAACTTTTCTGCCGGTTTTTCTGCTGGCCAGCCTCGCAGGACCCAGGATCTCACTTGCTTGAGTATGGGGTCCCTCTGTGTATGGGTGGCCACATCTGCTGACGTCACTGGGCAGTCTCTGTCGGCGTCGATGTGGAGGAGGCTTATGGTGGGTGCGGGGTCTTCTACTGGCTCTTTGGATGGGCACCTACTCAGGGCATCTGCGTTCCCGATGGTTTTGCCGGGCTTGTGAATGAGTCTGTAAGCATACCCGGCGAGGAAGATGGCCCAGCGTGTCATCCTGGGCGACATGTAGCCAGGTGTGGGTTTGTCACCCGCTAATAGTCCCAGGAGTGGCTTATGGTCAGTGATGACCGTGAAGTTCCGGCCATATAGGTACTCATGGAAGCGCTTGACTCCAGCCACAATGGCCAAGGCTTCCTTGTCCAGCTGGCTGTAATTCCTCTCGGTGCTGGACATCGTTTTAGAGAAGTAGGCGATGGGTGCCTCTGATCCGTTGGGGAGCTGGTGGCTGAGGACTGCGCCAATCCCATATGGAGAAGCGTCGCAGGTCAGTAGCAGCGGAAGCGTCTCGTGGTACTGGATCAGCACGCTGTCGGAGGATAGGAGCCCCTTGATGGTCTTGAAGGCGTTTTCTTCCTCTGTCCCCCATCTCCACGGAACCGCTTTCCCCAGCAATCGATGGAGTGGCTCAGCGGCTGTTGCCTTCTGTTTAAGGAACACCGCATAAAAATTTAGCAATCCCAAAAATGCTTGAAGCTCGGCTTTGTTTTTGGGGGCTGGAGCTTCGTGGATTGCCCTGACTTTAGCTTTGGTGGGGTGGATGCCGGTGCCATCTATGAGATAGCCCAGGAACTCGACCTCCTGGACCCCAATGATGCATTTGTCCCTCCTCACTCTTAAGCCCTTCTCCTTGAAGCGCCGCAAGACTTGTTTAAGTCGCTCAAGCAGCTGGGTTTTAGAGTGTCCGGAGATCAACACATCATCAAAGTATGGCACCACCCCTGGAATGCCTTGGAGAAGGCGTTCCATCATTGATTGAAAAATGCCTGGGGCTGCGCTGACTCCAAATTGGAGGCGGTTGCACTTAAATGCGCCCCTATGGGTGACAATCGTTTGTGCCTCCGCAGTTTTTTCATCCACTGGCAATTGCTGGTAAGCCTGGGCCAGGTCCAGTTTTGCAAATATTGTCCCACTCCCAAGTGAATGCAGCAGATGTTGCACCACTGGAACTGGGTATGCGCTCTGCGAAAGGGCCTTATTGATCGAACATTTGTAGTCGGCGCAGATGCGCACAGATCCATCATGCTTCATGGGAGTCACAATGGGCGTCTCCCATGCTGCATGATCGATTGGTTCCAACACGCCCTGGGCTATCAGCTTATCTAGCTGAGCATCTACTTTGGGCCTCAGGGCAAACGGAACTCTGCGGGGCTTAAGCCTAATGGGTGTAATTGTCTTATCAAGATTAAAGGAAATGGGCTTCCCCACAAATTTCCCCAGCTTACCGTCGAAGACTTCCTTGAATTCTTCGAGGAGGGTGTCGAGTTCGTCCTGACGAATTTGGTTAACCCCTACTATCCCGAGCCCTAGTGGCTTGAACCACTCCATGCCTAGCAGGGTTGGGCGGTCGTGCTCGACGATGGTGATGGGGAGGTTGCCTTGGAATTCTTGGTAAGACACGTGGAGCAAGGCTCTTCCCAGGACTCCGATGTGGTTTCCTCCAAAATCCACCAGCCTGGAGCGCAGGGGTCTCAGGTCCTTCTTGCGGACGTCTGGCTTGATGCGTTTTAAGTTTTTCCAGTCCATGATTGAGTAGATGGAGCCAGAGTCTACTTCCATGGAGCATGGGGTCCCCTCAAGCAGCACGGTCGCGTGGCACTTAGTGGCGGTGTCGTCGTCATCGGGGAGATGTATTGTGGTTTGGTGTACTGCTCTCCTCCGGTTCCCGTCACTCTCACCGCGTCTGGATTGGTAGGAGGACCGTCTGGATGCCCTCGCGTTGTCCTCCCGGTTTTCGCGAGGGCGGTGGCTGGAGGGCTCTGGGGCTGGTTCCTCAGCTCTGCATGCCTCTGCAATGTGCCCTCTCCTGTTGCAACGCCGGCAGGTTGCATCTCTCCATTTGCAGCTGGCTCTGGGGTGGTCCCCTCTGCAGCTGGCGCAGCGCTCCCCCTTGTAACTTTTTTGGGCGGTTTCCCGCCTTGGGGGTCTGGATACCTTGTGTACGGTGGATTCCTCCTCCGACTCTGATCCAGCTGCGGAATCCTCAGTTGAAGATTGCGTTGTGGAGCGAATCTTGTGGATTCCCTTTGCTCTGCTTACTGCGGCAGCCGCTTTCTCCGAGATTTTGGATGCGGTGGCTTCCTCCACCACATCTTTGAGCACGAGTTTCTTCCTGCTCAGAAATTTCTTTTGCAGGCCTCTGTCCCTCATGCCGAAAACCACGCGGTCCGCGATGGCGTTATCCACATGGTCAAACTCACAGCTGGCTGCGATTTGGTGCAGGGCGGCCACAAATTCTTTGATGGTCTCACCTTCCTTTTGATCCCTTTGATGGAAGGTGAAACGGTTTGCCACTGGAGTGCCAGTTGGGGCATAGTGTTCTTCCAGGATCTGCAGCAGGTCCGTCCATGGCACTTCTTCGATGTCTCGTGGTGCTACGAGATCGATTGCCATGTCGAGGACTTCGGATCCGCAGTTGGCCAAGAAGATGCCCTTTTTCCGATCATCATCGGCATCCCTGATGTTGTTTCCTCTCAGGTACTGCCGAAATTTTACCACGTAGGATTTCCACTTGTCCTTCCCTGGGCGGAATGGAGCAAGGGCTGGCAAGGTGACTTCAGCTGATGCCATGCCTCTGGAACTCCCTACGAAGTGACTCGTTCTCAGTGACTTAGGTCTATGAGGTTGGCTTGTGCCACGAGGTTCGTCGCTTGGTTCTGTTCCTTCGTCGCCAGTGTTAGATCGGCGCAGGGAAAGCAAGACGCGACCAGCTCGGGTCCAGTTCAGTACTTTATTAAAGCACAGGAAAAAGACAAGCGGCTGGGCTGCCGGAGCTCCTTTTATACGCTCCGGCAGACTCAGCCGCCCACTGACAGTTATTTGAATCTCCCGCCGGAAGATTAGCCAATCCCCGGCGGGTGCCCATATAAGGACATAACATTGGCCATGCTGGAAATGGTCTATTCTTTTGTCCTTGCTCCCCTTACCCTGGCCAACCTCGTCTGTGCAAAGAAACCCTCCATGTCCTTGGCCGGGTGTGGCACCCAGATGTTTTTTTTTATCTTCTTGGGAAGCAGTGACTGTGTCTTGCTATCTGTCATGGCTTATGACCGCTATGTGGCCATCTGCCACCCCCTGCACTATTCAACCATTATGAGCTGGAAGGTGTGCACTGCCCTTGTAGCTGGGACCTTCACCATGCGCTGCTTGTTTGGCAAGCAGATCACTATCTTGATATTATGCCTCCCATTCTGTGGCAACCATGAGATCAATAACTTTTTCTGTGACTTCCCGGCTGTCTTAAAGCTAGCCTGTGGGGATACCCATGCTCATGAAACCATATTCATCCTCATTTGTGCCATTGTCCTGACTATTCCATTTCTCTTAGTCTCAATCTCTTACATCTTCATTCTGATGGCCATCTTGCGAATTAGCACCACTTCCGGTCGACAAAGGGCTTTCTCTACTTGTTCCTCTCACTTGATGGTTGTCATTATGCAGTACAGCTATGGTGGCTTAGTATACCTGCGGCCTGGCTCCAGTTACTCAGCAGAGGAAAATCAGGTGGTATCTATATTCTATACCTTTGGCACTCCTGTGTTAAACCCTCTGATGTACACCATGCAGAACAGGGAGTTAAAAGATGCACTGACCAAAATCCTGAGAAAGAATCTGTCGTGCAAATGAAGGGTGTAGTAATCCCAACTAGCACCACTGTGTGGTAGAAACACGATGCAAGATATCGCAAAACAACACAGTGTATGGGACTGAAAGATTTATTCAAGGTTTATACAGATAATACTTCCACTGATTCCTCACAGGCATTCAAACTTATTGATCAAAATGGAATTTTAATTTCTTCAAGGAGCAGAAGAAATGTTGCTTATTGAGACTGATGGGTCTTCTGTGGAGCTTGTTTTATATGTAGAAGTCAACATTTTATTTACAGGTGGCAGTTGGATAAGCATGCCAAAATGTTACTGCTTGCAGTAGATATTAACTGTCTTTTCTCATCTTGTTATCAAATTCTGAAGAAAATTTTAAAATGGGTAGGAGACCAAAAATATATGTTTGAAAAGCAGCTGTCTAAAAACTGAACAAATAATAGGGCCTACTGAGATTCAGTATGTAGATTTGTTAACTGTAAAAAAGAAAATTAAAAAGTTCAATCACTGCTAAAATTAATGTTTTTAACTATATGTATTATGTTGTTTTTTTAATGAGATTTAGTACCAGTGTATAATTTTAAGCACTATATCCTTGTATTTTGGCCTTTTCCTAAAGTTAACCACTGTTTGAAAACTTCATTTACCTTTGCTTTTTACAGAATGATTGTTGCAATATTTTTAGGATCAGACTCAATAATAATAATGAGAGTTAGAGGTTTAAATATATTTCTCTTTAATTATAATAGGCATTCTATATTCACTGAATATTCACAGATAGAAGCGAAGAAAATGGTGAAGGTGGCTCCTTATATATACAAAGGGTGGAGCCAAGAGTGGGAGTGGTGAATTATGAATACATTAAGAAACAAAGAATAAGTTAACCCCTGATATCCCATATATACATTATTTACACATTAGGGAATAAGGCATTTACATCTGACAAATCCCCCTCTAAATGCCGGTTCGCTATACAACACCAATTACATTCAGATTCAGGACAATATAAGACATACAATTTGGAAGTTAAGTATTTGTGCTGTTTAGAAGGTAAAGGCTTCGTCAATATGTCAGCTAATTGTTCAGAGGTATCACAATGCACTGCTTTGATAAATCCATCTTGAGACAATTGTCTCACATGCTTAAATTTTATATCTATATGCCTGGATCTTTGTCCAATGGCATCGGATCTAGATATTTCAATGGCCGCTTTATTGTCTTCATGCATAACAAAAGGCAAAGCAGGTTTTTTCCAAACATCTGAAATTAAATCATTAAACCATACAAGGTTATTTGCAGCTTTGGATAAACAAACATATTCCGCTTCTGTGGTTGAAGTGGCTACCAGTTCTTGTTTACCAGTGTACCAGTAAACTGGACAGTCATTTAACAGAAAAATATAACCAGAAGTACTTTTTCTGCATGATATATCTCCAGCCCAATCCGCATCTGCGTAACATGTAAGTCTTGGTTCTTTATTATCACTAGGTTCTAATACTAGGCAAAAGTCTAATGTACTTTTCAGATATCTTAAAATTCTTTTGACAGCTTCCCAGTGATACATTGTTGGTTTGCTAACGTGCCTTGATAATAAATTGAGTGGTAATGCAATATCTGGCCTGGTCCAATTAGATATATAAAGAAGTGAACCTATGACTGATCTATAAAATGTATTATCCCTGAATTCAGGGGAAGATTCATCAGTATTTCTAAGGAAATCAGTTTGCATAGGAGTGTCACAGGGTTTGGCATTGTTTAAATTGCATTTGTTTAGAAGTTCAATAATCTTATCTTTCTGAGTAAGTTTGAATCCCCTTCTAGTTTTGTTAATTTGTACACCAAGGTATTTGTTTACTTTACCTAGAGATTTCAACGAGAAATGTTCATTTAACTTGTTTACAAAGATTTCTCTTCTCTCTTTGTGTTTTCCTATATATAAAATATCATCTACATAAATCAATACAAATTCAATGTGATCATCACTCTTTTTGACAAAGAAACAGTTATCAGCAGTGGTAGCGTTGAAATCCATGGTCTTAAGTACTTTTACCAAGCAATCGTACCATCTTTTGCCAGATTGCTTTAATCCGTATAAACTCTTGTTCAATAGCCAAATTTCATTTTTATTAGTGTATTGACTGTGAGGTGCTCTTACATATATTTCCTTATCTAGTTTTGCGTGTAGGTACGCAGTCTGTATGTCGTATTGAAATACATCAAGATTGAGTGCGGATGCTACTACTAGAGCTGTTTTAACACTCTCTGTTCTTACTGTGGGGGAGTATGTGTCAGTATAGTCCTCCGGATATTTTTGTGCATAACCTTGTGCAACCAATCTAGCTTTGTATAAGGTATTGCCTCCTTCTAGGTTCTTAATTTTATAAATCCACCTGGTACCAATAATTGTTTTATCTTTGGGTGCAATCGCAGGTGTGAATACATTTAATCCTTGCAAACTTTCCATCTCTTTTTTCATAGCTAGTTCCCATTTTTCCTTTTCTTCACGAGGTAGTTTTAATACTTCCTCATATGTATTAGGTGTTATTTGTTCACCATCCATATGCATTATGTAATCTCTGTATTTATTTGGTATTTGATTTCTGTTGTTCCTAATAGCTCTTTCTGGTTTGCTATGGTAGTCATGCAAATATCTTGCTTCCTTTTTTGTTAATGTGTCTGTCTTTATTTTGTGTTGACTATTTGTCCATGTTTTGGTTTTGTTTTTATTTTTGTTGACATTTTGATTTTCTATTGTCCCTTCCTCACGAGATTTGGTATCTTTGCATTTATTCGGAAATATTTCATTAAGATGTAATTTAGACCAGTTGGCCT